AATGTATCGTGAATTGCGCGCGCTCGTACCGATGACGTAGGCTGCGTTCATTATGGAAATATAATGAACTCGTTCTGACCAATCACAGCGCGCGCATTTCTCTTAACATTTTATAATCCCAAATAGAAAATACGATTACAGCTATCACCTGTCCGTAGTAGTATGTACATAGAAGGTCGCATGATTTTACAAGTAATTTAAAAAAACCAAATCACTAAGAGGAGTGCCTTATTTTTTTTATGTAGCTAAAAGTTATTGTTTTTAAAATCGTCGAGTGATATTTGCTAGTCAACTTCAACTTTTGTCTCTGACATTGCGCGGACGTCTTCGTGTCTTTAAAGACCAGCCCTGTATTAAAGAGAGTATAGAGTCAATTGTTTCTTGAGAGAAAAAGAGCGCTGATTACTTGCACACCAAGCTCCCTTACCTAAATAGTTAGGTTTGTCATGAGGGAGAGGTGGGTAATGGTTCGTTTGACCGTTTAGCCGCAGCTTTTATCAATGTTTGACCGATTACTAGGCTTTAACTTGCTTTTCTGCACTTCAGCTTTGTTCGTGACCTATGGGTATAGTTTAGCAGGCTAGTAAAGGTAAAAAGTTACCTAAAACAAACCCCATCTTTATTTCTCCCTTTCTCGGTGATGGCATTTAACCGACGCTTTTAAAGCTCCTGTATAACTGTTATGGGATACGCACCAAATGGGGTAATGGACAGCGAGGTACACCTACAAGCGGCAGGTCTGGCTGTAGGCTTTGGCCAAGTCGTCTACTATACTCCTAGGCAGGGTTAGGGCTTTCTCCACTTAGTGGTAATAATCTCAGCAACTTGACTTGCGAGAAACCTATTACCATAATACCTTGAGCAATTTTGCCTGAAGTTCACTGACCTGATCTCTGATGCAGAACGCATTTTCCCCTCAAACATTTCGTCGGCTGCCTTTGCGGCGGCATTCCCAGGTCCCATGGTTGCTACAGCAAGAATTTTATCCCCTCTGGAAGTGAATTAGAGAACAAGGGAAATAAAAGGCAATGACTAGTGGTACAACAAGGATTAAAAAAATAATAAATATAATAATAATAATCAAGATAAAAAAGGAAGAAACCTTATATGAAGCCTTCCCACGCTTTAACAAACGTCACGTGTACTCTTTTTTGAGTTTTTACTTCCTTAAGTAATTTGGTTTTTATGTTTGCTCAACTCACTTGGCAAAGTAGGCGGTGAATTTTTGTTCATCAACGCTACCGTCAATAAGCACGTCATCAAATGAATGGGCGTGACCTGGGGACAAATTTAACAGCAAAGAGGTAACAAAGGTTATCACTGATCGACCCGTGAGATTGCTCGGTTTCCCTCGGCTTAGTCCTGTTATTTTGGTTTACAACACGCCTGAGGGAGAGGGTAGAGGGGAGAGGGGAGTGGGGAGAGTCGGAGGATTTGAGGGATCACGTGGTTTTCAGGGGAAACGGAGTTGGGATCGGCCTAGTCCTGTTATTTTGGTTTACAGCACGCTTTACAATTAAGAACCAGTTATTCATTATCGCCTGGGGAGAGGGGAGGGTCAGAGGATTTTGAAGGATCGCATGGGTTTCAGGGGAAATGGAGAGGGGATCAGCCGTCACCGACAGAGGATAAAGGGAGACTTGAGGAAAATGACCTCTGATTAAATGCCAATGAAGTGGATCATAAGAATATTAGAGAGCCTTAAGGGGGATCAGGTAAATTTTATCTTGACATAAACAAAATCCTCCGATCCCCTTTCCTCAGGTTAGAACTTCAGGCTAAGTCTGCAAGGATTTACTCGGAGGAAATTAATTCTAATTCTGCATTTCTGTTACGATAGAAATCGGACGGTAGGAAGCAGCTAGACTCAGTTACTCTGAGACACCTACCACAGTATCTGATGCTTTTACCATACTGAGAAGTCCAGAAGAATGGTATTGTGTCGATCTCTTCGTTTCCTCCAAGCATATTACGCGCAGCAGTCAGTCCTACAATATGAAAGTACAATGGAATGAGCACGACAATTTCCAGGACTTCAAAAACCAACCTAGAGCAGAACTACCTGGTCCCCTGTGGGGAGAGTTAGACAACAGGTTTGCCCTCCAGATCTTCTAGGTATTCCTCTACTCATGCAAATCTTCTTTTTTCAGGGAACCTCGACTGGGTTTCGTAAAGAATCTCAATTTTCAAAGAAACACTTCATTACAACGAAAATAAGATAAGACTATATTTTGATCCGGATCGTTTTGCCTCGAAGCGAGAGGAATGTTTATTGGACCATTTCAACGATATCACCCATAAAAACATACCATGCTTGTGCGAAATCTGCCAATGACCAATAGTAACCTTTTCCCAATCTAACATCTTCAGAGGGAAGTGAGCGATATCTCCAGCGGCAAAAACTCCTTCACAAGCCTTCATGTACTGCAACATGAAGAGACGATAGGTTGGTAAAATAGAAGCAGGCCATGCTAATCTGGCCATAACCGTATTTATACAACAAGAGAGCCTAAAGCAAGCGCGAGAAAAAGAGTGGGGCACGAGGGCAGGAGAAAAAAAAGGACCAGGATGAGCGTGAATTGCCACTGAGCACGTTTGTCACAGTTTTAGCCACTAAACAATGCATCATCTCCTGCATTTTCTAGTTCAGTTCATTGATATTTCAACTACACGTCAACACGTCAAAAACTGTTGCTGACGAACGTGAGCGTCCGAAATCAGACGGTACCGTCCAAAAACGGATACAGGTGTACGACATCCAACAACAGTGAAAGAAATCAACGACTGGTGTTGGATACTAGTGTCTAAAAACGGACACTAGTGTCCAAAATAAAGACTAGTGTCTAAAAACGGACACTAGTGTCCAAAATCGGACGGTACCAGTTTTTTTAAAATTTTTAAGCCTACGCAGTTTTTCAGGGTCATTTTCCTCTGTCGTCTTAAATGGCTTGAGAAGTCAACACGATAACTTGGTTAATCCAAGAAAAGATGGTCATCGCCGAAATGGCCTGAATTGGAGTCACCTTAAGGCTAACTTTAAAAACTGCATATCGCAGAAGTATTCTAACCTTATCAACAATTACATCTCCGCGGCTGGTCTGAGGTACGCTACTCTTTTTTAAGAAGTCTGTGGATGGTGATACACCTAGGAAAGGCAGTAAATAGTGGTTTGCGTAGACTCCAGAACGAGAAAAATGTTTTGTTCTTAGGCATCACACTTTCCTCACATAATGTCTCTTTTCACACGAGACTCAATGGATGCCAGCAAATTGTGCGGGAGACTTAGCAGTTTTGCTTGGTTATACCCTGGCTCTCCATCCTAGATCGAGTTGTTTCAAACGCGATTAACTTAGCTCAGGGTTAGAGTAAACTTTTGAAAGTACTAGTTCAGCTTTACGAAGAAGTCTCCTGGTAGGACATTTTATGGCGTTCAGTTTTGCCTTGTACATACGCTTGCAAAGAACAGAATCAAACCGAAAGTTAATTTTTGCACTCTCAATTGGCGCTGAAGTTAGTGGTATACTAAAGGAACCTTACCTACTCCCTGGATACAGATATCAGCAGGAACTTCTGTTCCATTGTTAAAACACACAGCTGTTAACTGAAAGCAATACACCAGACACCTCGTATTACAGACGAACCGAATAAACTGACAATTCAATCGGTTAACTTTTAAGTTGCACTCAATTCTTAGAGTAAATGTTTGTCTCTTCGGGTTTATGAATTTTGGATAATAATTATCATTTTTAATGATTCACAATACACATTAATCCTCTCAAGCATGAACCAACCTTGTCAGTTCTCTCTTAATTTTTCAAGTATCAATTGGTGGTTGCAATTTTACTGTTGCTTTACGGTTTCTTTAGGTTAAAAGGCATTTGTGTATGTCCTAAAACTCCTGATGTGTAGCTCCATCCAATCACAGGATGACAAAAATTAACTTCCTTAGTTAAACTGAGAAAAATCCTCACTTTTCCTCTGTCGCCTTTGAAACTACTCGCAGCAGCATCAGTGATGAATTTTACTCCTTTGCTTTCGTGAGTCTAGAAGAAGTGGAAATAGAGTTTCAGAGTGTATATAATCATTCTTCACAATAGGAAAAAAGAATGATTAAAGACTGTTTGGGTAAATAGGCTGTTTGTCTTTTGATCAACCTTAAGTGTTCATGCCCAACTCCTAAACATCCCTGAGCCGTCCCCTGTTCTCCACGTCTACACAGACACGAGGTTGCGAGGGACTAGCACCTCCCGCTTCCTCGTTGAAAATCGACCGGGTACGAGTCAGTAATGCATCCCATTACCTTTTTCAGCATGGCGCCAATCTTCTCGCCCAGCACGTTCGCAAAAGGAATACTGCTTCTTCCAACACATGTCACAGACGCAGCTTTGTCTGCAAAGTTCGACGCCAGTTCCATACCTTACGGATCAAGGTGAAATGGTGGAGCAAGTTAACAGCAATATTCTTCCCTCATAGTAGTAATACTTAACAGATAGTTGTGGCTGAGCGAAAAACGAGGGAAGCTTGGGTCGGGTTGCATGACCCAACCCAAACTAAAAAAATGAATAAAGAGGGTGAGTTTCTAGAGAAATGTGGATTTTCTTCAGGTTTGGCATGGTGCACTGTTCTGAAAGCTGTGGATTTAAAAATGCTACGACAAGAATTTGTGATTGTAGCGATTAAACGACAAATGAAGTTTACTTTTTTCAAAAGAAACTGTGGTGCTGCAAACTCGAAAAAGTTTGGTTCGTGATTCATAAACTTTGCTCGTTTTCTCCCAGAATTTCAAGTTGGAGATATTACGCCGGAAAACGAATGGAAAGCGCGGTCTATTGCTAAGCTACCAGATGTAAAATAAATTAAAGAGTCTGGCATTTGAAACCACGGGCTAGTAACCAATTAAATTGTAAAAAAATTATAATGAGACATAATAACATTAATGATTTACCTATAAACGAAGTCCCAATGATGACCACGTTCTTTCCAGGGACGAAGGAGGCTACATAAAATATAAACACACATGGTTTTACTGAGCTTACCAAAAATGACGTTGTAGGTGACAGCTATATAAGAGGCCTAAAGTAAAAGATGATAATGGCGGCTAACAACAACAACAAATACCCCATTCACACCAGCAAAACATGTTTTGTTAAACTGGTTTTCATTGAATGAAAATTATAAACAGAGAACTGAAAAACTTGATTTTCCATTGGATTCAAGTACTTGCTAACTTGCATTTCCAATGTGCTACATTCAAGTAAAAAATATTCGGTTAAATAGTTTCTATGAAGAAAAAAAAAATTAAACTGTGTTTAACAAAACAACTTTTAAACATGTTTAAGCTTTGGTGTGAATGGGGCAAAAGTTAAATAAAACAAGGAAATAACGAAAACTCAAAGCTAACACCACCATGTTCAATTCCTTAAGTGCAACAAAACGTGAGTGCAAGATGAAGTAAGACTGGTTCTGCAAACCTACGCTTAAAGGTGAATTTCTTTTAACACTTGACAACAAATTGCTCTTAATGTACACACCAATCTGGTTAGCATCCTCAGGACTCCTCAGTAAGAAGATGTTCTCCAGATCACTTCCAGGTATACTTAAACTTCTCGGTCTAAATGCAAGTAAAATCAGACGACATAACTCGATGAAATAGTAGGCTTGTAGCATGCAAATTGAATGTACTACACTAAAATTGAACCGAGCAATGAAAGCCAATTTTTTAGAGGTGGACAGTTTAACAAATGAATGAAAGAGTAGAGTAAAAAGTAAAAAAATGAATGAAGAATGGATGGAAGGGTAGAGAGAAATAAGGATATATATTAAAAAAAGTAAGTATGGATGCGTGAAATGGGAGAAATGACAGATAGGAAGAAGAAAGGTGATATCAAATGAAGGGTTCTAGGGATGTAAGGAGAGAAGAAAAGAATCACTAGATGAGTGATGGGAAAGAAAGGGAGAGGGACACTTGAAGGAACAATGCTTACACAATGAATGTGGTCAAATAAATCATAACAGATGAATAGTAAACAAAAACCCACATCAACAAATGCATGAAAAGTACAAGTAGGAATAAGTGCAATGGACATGAACATGAACTGTAACAGAAATTAACTCACTTTCCTCCTGTAGCAATCAATACACTATCATAGTTAAGAACTGTGCCATTACTCAAAGTGACAGTTTTTTGGTTATTGTCCAATGCAGTGGCCTGAATGAGAAAAATAACAAAATGCTATATCATTAACACTTGCAATATAAAAAAAAACAGAAAATAACAAAATGCTATATCATTAACACTTGCAATATAAAAAAAACAGAAAATAACAAAATGCTATATCATTAACACTTGCAATATAAAAAAAACAGAAAATAACAAAATGCTATATCATTAAACACTTGCAATTTTAATAAAAAAACAGAAAAATAACAAAATGCTATTTCATTAAACACTTGCAATATAAAAAAAACAGAAAAATAACAAAATTCTACATTAAACACTTGCAATATAAAAAAAAACAGAATAACAAAATGCTATATCATTAAACACTTGCAAAGAAATAATGCTATGCCAAGTGCAGTAACCACATTTTTTCTTTCTTTCCAAACTTTAATACACAGCTATGCAAAATACAACTGAATGATAAGTTTCTGTTTCATCTCTCCATGAGGGCTCCATGACCATATTGACATACCTCAGTTTTTGTCATGAGCTCAATGTCATGATCCTTGAGAAATTCCATTGAACGTAACTTTAAAGAATCAGCCGTGGCAGCTAATTTCTAAATTGAAAGAAACAACCCATTCATGACAACACACTTATATTAAAAAGACCAATTATAAGAAGTAACTCAATGAAATATAAGCTACCCCATTCTGCTAAATATTTTGGTTTGAACTCTGGGGTACAACTTAACCTTGATACAATTCAGAGCCACTTCCAAAGAACTTACAGTTTTAATATTTACAAAAGTATTGGAAGTTTTTTGGGATCAAAACACAACAGCTTTGACAAATGGAAAGCTGTTCCAACAAATTATGAAAAGCTTTTCCAGTGAAGCTTTGATTGGAATAGATTTAGATCAACAGATCCTTACAGAACTGCAGCAATGAAGATGAATCTCATGATGACTTACTACACAATTCCAAATTCACACTCAAAAAGGCTATGGAATCCAATTCTGTTGGACAAGTAGGGAAGTATTCAAATCAACATTTAAATTCACACCAATCTCTGGACAAATCAGACCAAACTCTACAGAGAAGTTACAACAATAACAACCTTCAGATGATCAGTTAAGTCTCCAAGGAAATTATAGCTGAACACATATTAGGATGACTTACTAAAAGCAAATAGCATGAGCATAACACTAACCTTACTTAAAATTGGTCTATCATAGGGCAAGTGAGCCTCTTTTGTAATCATGATAACACGCCCTGTGAGGAACAGAAGCTCAATTACCTGTAAGCTAACACTCAGGTGTTTGAAAAAAAAAAAAAAACTCTTAGCTGGTAACAGGTTGTAGTAAATATTATTCAGTCAACGGGTTCAAAGCATTTGTTACAACCATTCTCAGTCAAACAATTGTCAATGATTAAAAGTAACCATTGTTTGACTCCCAGCAGAACTTCCTGACATTATGATCAGTAAAAATTTGCTCCCACATTTAAAAATAACATATTCCCAATCTGCAGAAGAAAACTACCACAATATTCATGTATCATATAATAAGTATCAGTCCTGGTACCTCTGAATCCCTCTTCTCTCAATGTCTCAGCAGCTTTCATGGCTGCTCCACCTGCATAGTGTAAAAACATCAACTCTCAATTTCCACATGAAACCTCCTGCTTCTACAAGGACCCTTTTTTAAGTTCCACCCCTAGTTTGTGTATCACTAAGATAATTTAAGGCTAAATAACTGTCTAATACCCTTTTAGTACCTTGGAAGTTCAGGTTTCTATGAGAAAATACTTTTCGTTGAGACTCTTGTCTGACATAAATCATCCTTATTATCTGACAGCATAAACTATCTTTAACCCTTTAAATCCTGACATCAGTATGCATATTCTCCATACTGTTCCCTATAAATTTCCTGAGGTGCAAACAAGGAGAATTTGTTGAACAATCAAGAGCTCTTTTATCAATCAGATTGAGCAATCATTTCCTTTATTCTTATGGCATTAATGTATGATTTGGGGCTGATATGGTAACCTTTGACTCCTAAGGGTTCAAGGGTTCACAGTTAACGGCTGAGCACACTTTCTTTTCATTGTGACTGGGAGCTTGGAGGAGAGAGGTAGTACTTGTTCACGGGTAACTATGGTTACATACCTTCTTGGCTACCTTAATCTTAAACTTTGACAACCCACATGACAAACCAACTATTTCAACAGCTTGCATGTACACTATGAACAAACTCACCTCCCCCAATGATAACAAATACTCGTTTGTCACAACTTGTGTCTTCTTTAACCATTGTCTTGACTCTTTTATGAGATGTAAATTGCTAAAACACAGATGACACAAATTTAAAAGTAAACAAATATATTTTGACATCATCGCTTTTATCAGATAAAGAATTATGAAATAAATATTACTAATTATATTATTACGACAGACATTTCAATTTTAATTCTCCTTTACCTCTGGATGTGCCCTAATAATAACATTATCATTCTTAATGACCACCTGAAAAGAAAAATAACTAATTTTCAGACTATTAAGAAATTTGCCATGAACATCTATGGAGAAATTATAGATTCTAAATGTTATAGAGATAACCCAGTAGTGCTTTTCCCACTGCAAGTTGAGCACCAGCATAACCTTACTCTGCATGGGTATATTTAAATGCTTCCTGATACACCAGTCAATTTTTACTTTCTTCCTTTTTACAATCTCTTCCAAAAGTGTATCCTCTTTCAAGTTTTCCATGTGTCTAACAACAGTCCACCCTATCTTTCATATTTCTTTCTCTGATTCCCAGATTATTCAACTCTGTCAAAGTTTTTATACCTTTGTTACTGTATAAAAACCCAACTGACCTCAAATTTGGGTAAACTGTCCAGCCCAGGAAAGTCTTCAATATCACCAGTCTTGACATTAAAGCAGGCTCCATGCCAGGGACAGCGTACTCGTCCATTAGAGAGATGACCAGTGGATAAAGGAGCCCCATAGTGAGTACACTTGTGGCCAACTGCAGAATATTCCCCATTCTCACGTACCAGCAGTGCTTTACCTTCTCCAATGTCAATTGTTCTCATACTGCATTTAAAGGAGACAAGGTTGAAACATAGGTATGTTATGCATGCAAGTTAATTTTTTTAGATGGGTGGGTTGAAGTGGGTCACTTTGAGTGACTGTGTGTATGGCAATCTGATTGGTGCCGGCAACATAACACTCAATACCCTAACATAGTTATTATTTTTATTAATGATAAAAAAATAACTCAAACTGATACCTTTAATTATCTAATTTAACAATTAGCAAAAGTCTTTGTAACTAGTTACAAATAAAATATTTCAGACAAAGAAATTGGAGTGCATTACGTTCCATCTTGCAGACAGTCATCATATTGGCCTACATTAACTTCAATCATGGTGGAGCTTTCTACAGATGTTCCTATAGATTTGGAAAAAGGAATAATAAGTCAGTTTATAATTCATGAACTTCTTCACTAAAATTAGCTTTGCGGGAATCAAAGTAAAACAGCACGCTAAACTGATGCTATACGAAACAGAATGGTGTGTTGTAATTTGAAGAGGAATTATGAAATCTGAGCTAATACGAGAAAAGAGGTAACAAGATCAGAGTAAGAATTGCAGCAAATGAATAATGGGGTTATGTTCCTAGGGAAACTTTGATGCTGCATGAGTGGGAGTATGACAGCTGCAGCAGCTCGGTTCTATCAAATGCGATGGTGATGTACATTAGTCACCACAAGGAGTTTATAAAGCTGACATTTCGATTGTTAGCCCTTTGCCTGCGCAAATAGAGACAAGTGAAAGCCTGTAGTTAAAGATCAATTTTCCAGGTAACAACCCACTCTTTGAGTTCCTTACAGGTTTTCCTTATCCACATGTCAGCGAGCGGTCCTATGCTTTTGTTAACTAGTAGCCAAAACGAGCAATCAAGTTATAATGTCATACAATTTTATGTACTAGAAAATTATCTGCTGTAGAAAAGGAAACCTCAACTATCTGATTACATAAATAACCTCAGGCAGGTAAAACAATTCTAAGAGAAATCTGATTTTTTGAGGAGAAGCGCCGAATAATTTACTTGAACACATACAAGAAATTTTCGACATAATATTTTAAGTTGAATTTCTCTCTAACAACAATATATTTGATAATCTTGGTTTAAACAGGAAGGTTAAACTTGTCATATCAGTACGCGGTTTCCCTATCCATCTACCAAAACGGTGAAACTACTCCAAAAACATGTTGTTAAATAAACGCTTAACACGACCGACAGTTCTAGAAAATATTCACCAAATGCTCAATAAACAAATTTTAGTAATTTCATTTGAAGAGTAGCCAATATCCTCGAGTGAAGAGATCTCGAATTTGATAAAACTTGCTTCAAGTAAGTTCGCACTTCGAGAGTCTTGTTGTATTTCTGTCGAACTCAACGCATTCATGAGCATTATCTTATTGTTTTTCCAACAAGATAACACATCCCTTCTTCCTTTTGCATTCAGATTTAATCACAATTAAGTACTGACCTTTAAATTTGTCACCTACCAAAGGCACACATTCTGAATAAATTAGGCATGGAAATTCAACATAGTTGTTTATGTTCCAACTTAGGCTGATCTACAAAGCTTACCTTCTCCTGTATCTGTGGTCAGTGTCCCTGTTGTGGAAAAACTGGCAAATGATGGCTGAGGGACACTTTTTCTACTTAAAAAAACCTTCTTCTCTCTGCTAGAAGATACCGTGACTCCCATGACAGGTAAATTGCGGTATGGTAATTTTGTGTGAAAGTTGTATTTACGTACGAATTGACGCAACAAGGGTCCAAAAACATCGGGTCGGAATACAACTTTAACCGCCTTACAGAACATCTAGAACCACTTGGCGGGTGGACAATCGAAACGGAAGTCACTTTTCAAAGCAGATGATGGGCGAAATAGCTGTGGCGGCTTACCTGTCTAGTAAATGTCACCAGCTGCAGAATCTTCCAAAACATATACTATCATCCAAAGGGGTGTGATGCTGATAGGAATTGTTTCATCAAGTAAACTCAACTGTAATGTCCATCTAATTAGACGATAGGCATGCAAGGCGTATTAAATAAACATTTAGTGGGAGTGACGGAGCTAATAAGTGAATCTTTGAATAAAATATTTAATTTACTTCCTTGTAAGTAGCAATTCTGGTGCACAGCACTTGGAAACATTTAATTTTGAAATTAATTCTCCTTGTGGTTTAGAATCACCAAATTTAGTTCCAAGGAGATACAATTATCACCCCTAACAACATTATTTTAAGTCTCTTCTCAACCAAGGATGGAGAATCTGATTTGAGAACAAGTGCAGGTGGGACAAAATCAATCGCATGTAAACAAAAACTTATCTTCAATACCGTTATGGAGTCTAATCCTTTATCCTCAATTTTATCAAGGTGCTCTCATGGTCAGGGAAATTACTATTCACTGATTTTTATTTCAATAGTGAGGAAAAGATTAGATTGTCAGGGGGTGGGTAAGGAATTGCCAGAGTAGAAGTAAGGGCAGGACTACTTGATTGTCAGGGATACTTACACAGGTAGTGGCTTTGCTAACTCTCTCAGCTTTGAAAATGGTTTGCAATCCAATGGAATGCTTGTCCTAAAAATGTCTTGCTTACTTAAATAAATTAAGAGGTGCAGTTGAGGGATCATGGATAGATGGCCAAAACATCTAGGTAGTAAAACGAGTAAAAAATGAGATGGAGTAAATGTCAGTTCTTATTTATCCCCTTTTACTTTTACAGTTGAAGAATTTTCAGATTTCTTTTTTGACATAAACAAGGTCATACCCTGATGTTTGAATACCAAACCAGTAGCTCTCGCATCCAAGGGTTGGCTGAATCACCGAGCTGCAAAAACTCCCCATTGAGGAATGCCAATATACTGTATGTCTAATCCCCCTGTACTTTATCATATTTTCACAAGCACCTCTCACACTGATTAAAATCAGACTTTTTCAATTGCTGGAGAACCGACAACAATGTCTCTCTCCAAGCAAGTATGAAGACAATGCTGCCCTCAAGATGACTTTTCAAGCAATCAGGTTATTTAAGTAAACAGTTGACAGAAACCCAGACAATCAGATCCAGACTTCAGTGCCAACATTGTGATTACTAAGGTCAGTTAAAAATAAATTTAACCTATCACATAATATGATACAAATAATGACATGATCAATCTGGGAGTCAAAGAAACATCATTTTTGACTAGCCTTTTTTTTTTAAGAGAAGATAAAAGCTTTTGACCCTTAACCAAGGGGTTGAAATTTTACTCTGTACACAACATGTTTGCAATTAACTATCAAGGAGGGGAGAAAAGTCCACAAGTCAATGTCTAAGAGCAGGAAGAGGGTGTTTTTTAAGCACAATTTTACATTCACATTGACTGAATAAAACAGATTTGGAAATTTTAAACTTTATTCACCATCATTATATAATTTTTCCATTAGCACACAGGTAATGACATTATCATAATTGAAAGAAAAACATTCTTTGAAATGACTTTGCCATCAGAAACAAGCCTCCAAAACAGTAGTTATCAGCACAAGCAAGCAGGAATAAGTCACACTTAATGTTCCATTTCATCTTCATAGCCATCAGGCAAAGCATTCACGTGCGAATTGTGAAATAATGAGTGGTTGCCATCACCCCATGGGAAGAGCTGAAACAAAACAGATCTCTTCTTGAGACAAATGAGACAGTAATAAAATTGAACAGCAGAAGGAATGTTACAATTTTCCTACAGGAGAAAAAGTTAACTCACTGATACCTATACTAATATGATGCCAGTTGTTTTCAAGGATGGATTATGGCAAATAAATGATCATCTTTAGAAGTAATATGTAAATAGAGAATAATACATGGGCGCGCGTAGATATGGAATTTCTCTTTGAGTGTTTAACTTGATAGCTCACGAGTGAGATGTCGAGTTGAACACGAGAAGAGAAATTCCATATCTACAAGCAACCATGTATTATTTTGTTTATCATATAAACACAATAGCCCTTTACCTGGAAAAAAAGCCGACTTCATTAATGAATGAAAATATATGAATAAAAAATCCCCGAATAATAATCGTAGAGTGCATTGGCGCTAACTCTTATGATGGAAAAATGCGTTGAATCATGTTTACAAAAACAACAATGGTCGTAATTTTCAACTTACAAAATTCTCATTTATTGACTCTGTCCTTACTGACAGAAGAAGTCTTTCAGGTAAACGGCCAAAATCGGCCAGTGACAAATCTTCCAGTTGTCAATTTTCATTCTCAGCCGAGAGAAATGCTAACACCAAAGCCACTGAATATGTAACTTTCGGTTTTTCTTTTACTATGTTGGTTTTCTTCCCCTTCTAGAAAAGTTTGAACCTCATTGTCTGTCAGCAATACAGATTTTTTAGTGTTTTAGCCACCATAAATCGAGCAAGCTCCAACAAGCAACTTGTATCAAGAATCGTGAAGGCTTTGCCATTCATTCATCAACCTGACCGAGTAGTGCCAAAGGCGAGTGATGTGTCAGCAGCTGATTGGCTATATCAACACACGTGAAAAAATATCGTATTTTTCCACGTGTGTTGTTACGGCTTTTCTCAGGGCCGGAAATCCTTGTATAAAACCGCAGTTTATGTGATAAAAATGACATAAAATGGCCATTACAATACTTTTTTTACATTGCAGAAGATGTCAAAACAGTATGAAACAGTTTTCACCAGAGAAATGGAAATATGCTTCCTCTAAGAACATAACAACAATAAAAACCTGTATGTCACACAATAACCTTCTTGAACATGGACATTTTGATTACTCTTTAATTTTACAGTTTTGCATCAGTTTTGTTGTCGACAAAGGAAATTGAGTCATTCCAATCTATTTCTTTCACCCCTTTCATTTGCAGAAGTGACAGTACACTACCCTTACATTACCAATACATTTTTCAGCAAAATGCAATAAGAACAGAAAGAACATATTTTATATGACTTAGGACTACATTCTCAGATCTGAAATGATAAGAATTGTATGAAAGACAGCGTGAAGAAATTATATTTAAATTAAGGGAGTGATTGGGTTCATACTGCTTTCAAGAGTTTGGAATATATTCAAAAACTATGTCAGCTGTGAGACCACTGTTTGTAGAAAGGTTTAGTCAGTACTTGAGCCTAATAGCCAACCCAGCTAGAGTTTATCCCAGTTTCCTTAGCATTAGGCAACTGGGAGTATTACAACTTCCCCCCTGGATGGGATGCTTGTCCATCACAATGACAGCCCCCCAGCATTTCATCAGGCTTCCCTGATAATTTGCCAGCACCTATTTAAACTTTGGAGTAGAGAGAGGCCCAGTGAGATTTAAGTGTCCCGCCCAAGAATGCAACATATTAATTCCCCCAGTGCTTGAACCCAGACCTCTCGACCCAGAGTCCAGTGCACTGATCATTAGGCCACTGCACCTTCACACACAATTTGAAGAAATGACACTGTTCACCGACCTTAGATCTAATCCTGAGGTGAGAGTATGGTACAAACTCTGCCCTTGGATGTTCATGATGCTCTTTCTCTTTAAGATACGTATTGTAAGTACAGATAAGAATGCCAGGAATGGCAACAAAATATGAAATCAACTTCCAGGTCTTCATAGTTGCTAAAGAGAGAGAGAAGAAGAGAGAGGGAAAAAATGGAATTTAACTCAACAATTGAAATTAGAATGCTGAAAGATAACCTGTCCTGTTTTGACGGAAGACATTACTGGGACCCTAGTTTCCTATAAACAAACATGGTAAGACCCTTTAACCATTTTAAAAAAGAAAAGTGAGTAGCATTAGAAAAATCTTTTACTATCAAAAACAAATTACATGTACCTGACAAACAAAGTAGAAAAACCCAAAATTGAAGACAAAGATTTTCACAAAAATTGAACCATGGACATGCACCTATGTAGAAAATCTCTTTTGTTTTAAAATTCAAATAACAATTTTTTTACCCTCCTCTCCCCCCTCTTCATTCTTTTTGTATTCACATGCTGTACCCATGATTTCACAAACTAGCCAATCACATCAAAGAACTCTAGCCTTGACATTCAAAACTAACAAGGAAATTTTTTGCTAACTTTTGTTGTTTGTTTTATGGAGTTTTGGTGAATTCTCATTTAACTTTTGTTTGCACAAATTTGTTGCCTTGTTGTTGGGGATTTTAAGAAGTTTATTTTGGCCTAATGTTGTGGTTCATTTAACTACTTAAATATATATTTTCTACAGAGTTTGGACTCTTGTAGATGGATTTTTTACAATCTTTGCCCTACTATGGGATTTGGTTCTGCACATCTCATTTTCTTTAATAGGATAAAATAATAAAAATAAATGGGAATTCAACAATGGACATTCAACTAGATGGCTCTTCTTGTCCACTGTTTCCAGGTCAAATTGGAATTTGGAGTGTTGATTTTTGTGGAGGGAAGAAAGGACCCAGAGAAGAACTCTTTAAGCAAGGAAAAGAACCAACAAGAAACTCAACCCACATGTGATGCCATATTGGGTCATAGTAGTGGTAGGCAAGTGCTCTCATCACTGCGCCATTCCTTCTCCCCTTCTCTAGCCTTATTTGTATACTTCCAATTTTTTCCAGCTATATTTTGACAACTAGGTTTGGAAATAGCAGAAAAGCTTTGGGGTTCTCGGTTACAAGGTCAATGCCAATAGCATGTAAATGAAATCACAGGGCATGATTTCAGCACCCATTTCATGGCCGTAAACATTCGTCATAATAGTTTGCGCAAATACGAATGAGACTCTAGCTTCAGAATTTAGTGTTGGCCAAACAGTTACTAATATAAAACAAAATCTCTCCATTTCATCAACAGCCGTAAAACAAATCTTATCTACCAATCTCAACTGGCCAATCTCGTATGTGCGACTTCACGAGCTCGTCCCGCGATAGTAATAGTCACGGGTTAATCTGGCATTTACCCTTTCTAGACACTCGTCATACTTCATATTTTCATTTTTGAACTAACACTATAAGTTTACATTTAAACAACGGAGGTAACCTCAGTACAATATTGAACTAAATACGTTAAGAGCAAGCGTATTAAAATAACACGCAATGTCAGTTAATAGAGCATCGTTTTGGAGCAGTAACATAATAAGATCGAATCTACTGACTTACATTCAGCATGTTTCGCCTCTGCAAGTTCTTTCTCTGCCAAAGAAGCTCCTGGAGAAGCCGTAGCTGCGAAAAATCTCTTTGAAACCAAGTTCACTCGCGAAAATATACGTGCCGCCATCTTGTAACTCCTCGAACTAAAAAAACGTAATTAATGGACTTCTGGGATATCTTATCGACAAACCAATCAGAATTCGTCTTATATTGCACCACCAAAATCTAAAATGGCGGCCTGACCTTTTTTCTTTTTTTACATAAATTTTTATTTTATTTTTCATACGTACTCATCTCTGAGATGGATTTTTTAGAGGAGCAAAGAGAAGAGATCGAGAGCCTTAAAGCCATATTTCCTGATGAATTTTCCGAACTCAGTTCTTTCCCTCCGACGTTTATGATCAGAATTGATGAGCTAAACATCCCTTCTTCCGTCACGTCGCTTCAACTGAAGATTTCCCTTCCACTGAAATATCCAGAAGAAATCCCTTTGATCGAGATCCCAAATCGCTCGAATGCAATGCCAAAAGAGTTCATAGAAGAACTGATCTCCTTCTTAAAATGTTCGTGTGAGGAATCTGTGGGAATGCCTATGGTGTTTGGTTTAGTAGATTCAGCAAAAGAATGGGTTGAGGAAAATACAATGAGATTCAACAGCTTTCAAGGAGACCAAGCAGCAGAAATTGAATCAGATGAGGAAAGAGATGGTCAAGATTCTATTTACTTAGAAAATTTCAAAGACAAATTGGAAATGATCAGTGCAAAAGGTGGAAGATGGGACTTCGTCATTGGCCTAATTGGTAATAATTAGACATCATATATAATTATTTAGGTAAAGTTAAAATATTAATAAAATAAATACTCAGCAGTCTTAGCTACTAAGGCTTGATTTCTGTTGTTCTCACGATTGCGGTCATTGTTTCTCCCTGAGAAGAATTCCTGTGGTGAAGGAGTGATTTTCTGATAAACAGCTGGTTCATTATCAAGCTTACTGGACTGTTAGAGTATTTTTCTAAATTAACCTGGATTGCATTGGTTGTGCTATACTACATTTGAAGCACCATTCACTGGTTTGCAAAACTAGTGCTATTGTCCATACCAGTCAGATGTGAAACTAAATCAATTTCTAGTGTGTCCCTGGTGTTTTCCTACAGTTTTAACTCTCAGTTATTTATCTGTCTTTGTTATGATGAGGAGAATGATGAATAGGAACAATGTGTACATCATAAGAAGCTAAGGAGAACTTATTTGTAAATAAGTAAATATATACAAGCTAAATGCCTGGGGGTTGTGGTTGGAGTTATTTGTAAGCCTTGTGAGATAAATATTAATAGAAATAAATTTTAGTTGTTAAATTTTCATTGAGAGGAGTTAAATTTATTTTTCAGGGAAACCCTCAGCTGGAAAATCCACTTTCTTCAATGCTGCTACACACCAAAATATGGCAAAAATAGGTGCGCATCCCTTCACCACAATTGAACCAAATATTGGGCAGGCATTTTATGCAATACCTTGCCCTTGTGTTCAGTGGAATAAACAATGTCATGCTCGATATGGCCACAGTGCACAAGGTGAAAGGTTTGTTCCAGTCTTGCTCAAAGATGTGGCTGGTTTGGTGCCAGGTGCATGTGAAGGAAGGGGACGGGGAAACAAATTTTTGAATGATCTCTTGGATGCTGATGTACTCATTCATGTCATTGATCTGTCAGGGCAGACAGATGAGAATGGAAAACCTACCACTGGTAAGTACTGGAGATTAAAATTTGATTTATTGGAATTCTTCTTAAAAACATTTTTAGGCATAATTAACCTTTTTACCCCCTCAGAAGTGACTAGCATCTAATTTCTCCTTAAAATACCTCTCCAGAATCACACATTCAGGTCACAGGAATACAGGAAATGATCACCACCTAAATAAGCTCTTGATTGTTTAACAAATTCTCCTTGTCAGGACCTTAAGAAATCTGAGATAACTACAGAGAAAAAGGCATACTGGTGTTAGGGTATAAAGGGTCTTGTCTTCTCCAGGGTGGCCTATTCATGTCATATTTTTCTTTTTAGGGTGAGCTTTTGATTGTTCTTTTTTGTTATCAGATTATGACCCTACAAGAGATGTGGGATGGATCCAGCAAGAACTTCACAGCTGGATTTATGACAATATTATGGACAAATGGGACTCAATTGTGAAGAAACCAGCAAAACTATTTGACATGTTCACTGGATACCATGCATCTCAAGCATTGATTCACTTAGCATTTGAGTCAGCAGGAATCACAGATAAAAACCTCCTTACTATTCCTAAAATAGAAAAAGCAAATGCTGAACTTTTGGTGCACAAATTAGTTGATAAATTCTTGCGCTTGCGCTTTCCAGTTCTCTTAGCTCTTAACAAAGTTGACTTTCCTGATGCTGTTCAAAATTTGAAGAAATTTCAAGAGCAGTTTGTGGACATGACAATGGTCCCTGTTAGTGCAAGGAGTGAGTGTATTCTACAAAAGGCATGCAAGGATGGCGTGTTAACCTACCAAAGCGGTGCATCAAATTTTGAAATTAACCATCAAACTCAGGATCTAAGTGAAAAGTCCAAGAAAGAGTTGATACAAGTAAAAACCAGTGTCCTTGATGTCTTTGGTGACACTGGTGTCCTGCAAGCTTTGTCACAAGCTGTGAGTCTCCGATCACCAGTTTATGCATTTCCAGTTAACTGCCTTGATACTTGTCAATCGATCAGTGTGATCACAAAAGAGAAACCCCAGATACTCAGAGACTGTATTGCGTTGAAACCAGGCACAACAGTGGAAAAACTCTTTAACATCTTGCTTTATCCACCAGCTTCTCTCCTCGCTGGAGAGTATGTGAGAGCAGAAGGAGTCAGTTCCAAAGGAGTGAAAAGTGTATTACATAAACATGACATCATGAATGAGACAAACCAGATTTTGAAAATTATGAGCACCAGGAAAGCTTCACTATCAACTAAGACTAGAAAATAAGTATCATTTTCAGATATTAGAACAGATATAATTTTATGTACCTTCTATGTTTATTGATTAAATATTCTTAAACATTTGTAAACCAAATAAGGAGGTGCGGATTGGGTTGCAAAAACCTCCTGTCTCCCTCCTCCCCAGCACCCAGCTTTGTAACTCATATCCAGCTTTCTTTTGAATCCTTTTCTCAAATTTACAAATTCTTGAAAATTTAAGAAAATAATATCCTGTAGGTTTCTTCACAACTTTTGGAAAAATTCAAAAGTAAGTGCAAGTAATTTTCTAAAGAAATATGACAACATTGAGTGGGTTAGGGCTTGTTTCAGCAGAATAAATGCTGCTTTGAGAATTGTCTGTTTTGAAAAAAGTCTCTTAAATATTTTGATTAATCAACAATAAACTATTTTACATAATGAGCAAAATATTAAATATAAAAATTGTACGTATTCCCACAGGTATGGAAACCCTATTCAATCTCTTTGCTCTTCAATGCATCCTTCATGAAGAATTCATCTTCAGTGTAAAATGTCAGTCCACAATTTGCTGCAAATTCTTTATCACTTGCTCCATGGTCCTTGGCCCGTCCAGCAGCATCACCAACAAAGAAACTCTTCTCCTTATTAACTTTCATGTCACCATTACATTTTTGACAGAAGAATTCCCACATCCCTGTGTTGGGTTTACGGTAGCAATCCTTTGATGTAGCTACAAAGATCTGAAAGGGTAGAGCTACCTGAAAAAAAACAGAAATAAACAATACATTGACCATGAAGCCATGTGTCTCTGGATAAAATTAAAAGGGAGAGATGAAAGGGAAAAATTCACTCAATGCAAGCCAAGTGGCTTTTCCAGCAAGAGCTTATTCCTGTTTCTGTAGAATGAAGGGAATGCAAGTATTGCCTCTCCCCCTGAATGGGTTGGTAGTTCAGGTTACACCCCTCCCCACCCCCCTGGGTTCCCTACCAGTTTGCTACTACCCATTTATACACCAGGGTAGAGAGAGACACCTCAACAGTAAAGTTTCCTGCCCATGGAAACAACTCAGTGATCCAGTCAGGCCTTGTACACAGACCTCACCATCCCAAGATCAGGGTGTAACCATTGGGCTGGCATATCTCCTCTAGAGGAAGAAGGATTAGGCTTGATGACTAGCTGCTCCTCTCTTGACCCTCTATAGCCTAGCATGAGTGACTAGCATCTAATTTCTCCTTATATTAATACCCTTCAATAATTCAACAAGATTGTGATTCCATTCAACCTCTGTGGAGGTCCACAACACTTACTGGCTCATGCTTCTAATTTTGTTTAGAAAACAACGGAATTTAGACCCTTGGTTGGAACATGCTTATATGAAAGAAATTTGTCTTTGGGAGCTGTTAGTACCTTCTTAACAAAACCAATGAGCCTGCCTTTCTTCTCATCCATAACTTTTTGTTTTGAGGCCTTTGCTTTGCCAATAGCAGCCTGGTTAGTGAAGATTACAAGTTTATATCCATCCCTGTGAAGGGTTGTTAGTTTCTCTACACAGGAGGGGTATAGTAAGGACCAAGCATCTGGTCCATGTTTGAATAAAGATGTTTTTGCCAAAGTGCCATCAAAGTCAAAGGCTGCAATTTGTTGTGAAGGTTGGATTTTCTGTGACACATAATAAAGTAATGTTCCTTTCCACTTCCAAGTGGGGGGCAAATTGCTTTTACCATGTGACTGAGAAACATCGCTGCTTGTTATGTCCTCACCTAGAAATATAATTTTTCAATTAATCCTTTGGTCCCTGAGAGTGATTAACATCTAATTTCCCCTTACAATATCATCTCCGAATCTCACATCTAGGTCACGAGTCAGAATAAACGAAGTGATCACCATGAACCAAAAGAAGTTCTTGATTTTTAAAATGCATACCATTCTCCTTTTCTGCACCTTAGGAAATGTATGGAGAACAGTATGGAGAATATACTTATTGATGTTAGGATGTAAAGGTTTAAGACTAAGAAATCTGACCATTACAATAGTCTAGTGAAATCTTATCATATATTAACCGAATTGAGTGCAACAATTGATGACATAAGTTCCAAAACATTGCAAAAGTCGGAAGTTTCTGAGTGATATCGAAATTTAAATAATTTGTTTGACACTGCACTGTAATTTCTTTGGAAGAAAAGACCCACAACTCGTTCGGAAAGTAATTAAAATTAATTCTTATAATATATTTACCATACGAAACAAACATCCTGACTCACTGGAAAATCTCCTACCTTTTCTGGGTGCCCTTAAAAATCTTTTGATGCCCAACGATTTTTCATCGCTGGCATCAGCATCGACTTCCTCGATTTTTCTCTTCACAGATTTTGAACTACCCTCCATTCTGACATCCCTGTCATCGGTTAGGCATGTGGTGTATGTTGTTGAGATTCCTTTAAATATCAGGACATTACACTTCCCATACACCACCTACTTACTATAAAATAAAAACACGTGCAAACTTTCAAGATGGCGGATTGCTGTCCAACCATTACTCTGCAATTATAAACTACTCGTCTTTCTCGTGAGAATCCACGCAATTGGATCATGTCGAGGCTTATTGTTAGGAACTTACCAAAGAACATAAAGGAAGAAAGGATTCGTTCTGTTTTTGAGGCAAAAGGAGAATTAACGGATGTCAAATTATGTTATACAAAGGATGGCAAGTTTCGACGATTTGGGTTCATTGGGTATAAAACTGAAGAAGAAGCGAAATCTGCTCTGAACCACTTTAATAAATCGTTTATAGACACCTCAAAGATATTCGTAGACGTTGCTAAAAACCTTGGAGATGAAACACTTCCACGGCCTTGGAGCAAATATTCGCAAGGCAGTTCTGCGAACGAGAGACTGAAGAAGAACCTCGAAGAAAAGAACGAGAAGTTAATAACCCAGAACTCAGAAGGCATCAAAATAGAAAATTGTGAATCGGATGGGTTAGGGAAGAAAAAAGATAAGAAAAAGAAAAAGAGAGCGAAAATTTTAGGTGATCTGGAGGATGATGTTGAATTTCAGGAATTCTTAAATGTGCATAAAAACCGTGGCTCAAAGCAAACCTGGAGCAATGATAACATAGAACGTGGAGAGCCAGAATCAAGTTTAAATCAGATATGCGAGGGAAGAGAGGAGATTTCAGTACAGAATAAGGTACGTAGCTAATGACGTATATATTGGGACGGCTAAGCTGCAGAATACCCTGCCACTCAATTACATGTCATTGAATATGAATAACGTTTATTATTGAATATGAATAACGTTTATTAACGTTTATTGTGGTTAAGAATATATGAAAGTCATATATTTGAACTGCGGATAAAGACGTTAATGAAAGTGATCCTCATAGTAATGTGCACTACTTAGGCAGTAGTGAAAATAAGGCCTGAAAAAAATTCAGGCCTGTATGGGATTTGAACCCATGACCTCTGCGATACCGGTGCAGCGCTCTACCAATTGAGCTAACAAGCCAAATGGGAGCTGGTCATGAAGTTGGTTCTAAATAAACCCGTGAAGTGATCAGAACCAACTTCATGACCAGCTCCCAGTTGGCTTGTTAGCTCAATTGGTAGAGCGCTGCACCGGTATCGCAGAGGTCATGGGTTCAAATCCCGTACAGGCCTGAATTTTTTTCAGGCCTTATTTTCACTACTGCCTAAGTAGTGCACATTACTGCGAGGATCACTTTCATTAACGTTTATTGTGTTATGCCTTTTCTTCAAAGCTTCCCCACACATGTAAATTGTCTGCAGTTGCTCCTATTGGGACTAAACCAAAGATCTCCATTGCTTATTTCAGTTAATGTAGGTCACATTTGGATTTGCACAAGTCTTCCAAGACCCTCTTGCTTTTTTGCTCAGCTTGGGCCAACTTTTAAAAGAATGGATGATACTCTTCTCCAGATGAATTGTCATTAGTCAGAAGTGTCAACTGTTTCGTTCAATTGATACACTTCTTGATGAAGGTTTTTCTTGTCATTCACATTATTTATTCTCTTAATGACTGGACAATGGTTTAACCTAACTTTGCATTTTTTCAATTTTAGCATTCTGAGGAACAATTAAAATATGATTATTCTGATGGAAGTGAAAATGAAGATGAAGTCTATGATGTAGCAGGTACATGTGTTTTGAAAGGAAAACCAGGCTTCATTGGCCTGCAATCTTCTTTTACCTTTCTTTGTTCTTCCTCCACAGGAAGCAAACTAAAGCAAGAGATGACCTTCGAATTGATTTACCATAGATTTTTCAGCACAAAAATAGCTGTAAATAGCAACTATTAGTTATTGATACAAACTTGGCAATTCTATCAGTCTTAAAAAGTATCAACTAAACCCTTTCTCCACAAGGTTCTGAAAATGAATTCTGTATTTTGTCTGCTATACATTTCCAATAAGTTAACCTTAAGAACTTGGCATTTGACAAAATATTTTCCTCTAGATGATAGTGTTTCTTCTTTTTACCTTTCTGCATGACAATGTTTTGCTCTTTGTAGGAGATAATTATATTTTGTGACTGTAGGGAGAGAAAGAATCAGCTAGAGTTTGTTTCATTGGAAAATCTGTGTTGTTGCAGGAGTTAAAGGAGTTACAGAGGAAGAGAATTATTCAAAACACAATGAGGAAGATAATGAGGAAGCCAAAATGGCTAAGGATTCTAAACTGTCTGATATGGATTACTTAAAATCAAAGGTTGTTTCAAACACACAGAATCCTCTCAAAACTGAGAAAGGCAAAAAATCTCAGAAGAGGAAAAGAGTTGATGGAAAGGATGAAGAGGAGAGAAATAAAGAAAACTTTGGTGAGGAATCTTTGGATACTAGAAGAAGCGAAAATGAGGAAGACAGTAATGATGGTGATGATGACAAGGATAATAATGATGGTGGTGATGATGATGATGATGATGGTAGTGGTGGCAGTGACACAAATAATAATGATAAGGACAGTTCAGATGCTGTTGGTAATGTAGAAAAAATCAAGACTACTAGTCCAATAGATGCTGTATTTGGAACAATAAAAATGAAAGGGTTACCCTTCAAAGCCAAAAAGAAACACATCAGAGACTTTTTTGCACCGCTGAAAGTGCTGGATATAAGAATAATTAAAAACCACCAAGGAAAGCCCACAGGCTGCGGTTTTGTAGATTTTTCAAATGAGAAGGATATTAAAGAGGCACTCAAGAGAGATCGGGATTTTATCCAGGGTAGGTACATTGAGTTGTCTAGAGTCAAAGAAGAACAGCAATTGAACCAGGAGACAGAGAAGAATAAACCTTGGATGAAGAAACTGGCAGCTCAAGGAGAAGAGGGTGAATTTGAAAGCATTGCAGAGGTGAGAGATGGTGAAGATGGTGGTTAGCTAAAAGAGAGATTACCTTCAAAAACTGAAGGGCTGGGTATTTAAACAAAGGTTAATTGTTGTTTAACAAAAATGTTTTCTAAGCCATCTTCAGTTTAGCTGAACCTTTTATTAGAACACAAATTTGTTTTACTGAACAGTGTCAGGAGGGACAAAAGCTAATAGTGGAAAGACATTTATTTGATTAAATCAACCCTCTTATAGAGAATCCCTGAGACCCGCTGCTTGCATAAAACTGCAGTTTGGGTCAGACCTCATGTGAATAACTGGCCCTAAATCATTACATGCAATAATGTTGGATGTCTGTGTGGCAAGTTAAGGACTAAGTTTTCCCCTTTGTTTTTTTGGCCCAAAGTTTCTTTCATCTAGAAAAGTCAAGAACAATCAGCAAAAAATAACAAGATTTTGGCAGCAGAACCAGCTTTAAGTATGTTAAGGGTGTATTTTACTGTACAGCTGCCC